CCTTGTAAGCCAGATTTGTGCCCACGTGCCTAATCACGTTAAAGTTGAGTTGCGCTCATAACGTGTATATTTTTGACTGGAGCCGTCAGATAAGTGAGGCGAGGTAAAAGAAAAAAAAAAAAAACGTACAATACTTTCCGGTGAAGAGTGGAGCCGAACAACCGTATAACGTGAAACGCAAAGCCGGCTTGTCTGTACGAAACCCGGACAAAAAAGCGATGTGCTTTTCGGAGCTTCCGCCTCGTCTGGCGGCGTGGGGGAAACGAGCGAGGCTGCTCTCTCCTCCCCCCTCTGACTCACTCCAAGCGCTTTGATGTGGGTGGAAAATAGCTGTTTAATCAACAACATGTGTCAGCATGTGTGGATAAATGTGTGAGAGTATGAGAGTGTCTTTGTGCGTTCCTGCCCGATTTCAGCCACACCTGTTGGGCTAAAAATCACCTGGTGCAAGTGCTGCTGGGCGGGATGGAGGGGGGGGCAAACTCGACTCCACCGCGGAGACGATAGTCCCTACTTCGTTATCCCACACGTCTCGAGTTTGGGACTGACGGCTCAACTCTGCAGGCGAAGGAGTCGAGGATGGTTCATATAAATCTCCCCGTCCTTCTTTTGACCCCCCCCCCCACCTCCCCCCAGTAGGAGAGGAAACAAAAACAGCACCCAATCACACAATTTGGCGTATGAAATAATTCAGATCTTGAGACAGTTTATGGGATAAACATTAGCCGGTTGCCACACACACACACACACACACAATGTATGTGACCTTTTGACTGTTCCTGATGGCCGGAAGGCAGTGAAATTTAAACATTTCCTGAAGCTATATTTCATTCTAGTTCAGACACAGCCAGTAAGCCCCCCCACCTGCTTTTGGGGGCCGATCAACTGTAAAAATCTGCTTATAGACAACATGGAGCAGCAGAGTCATTTACTTCCCAGATAGAAAGTTCAAATTAAAGCTCCATCAGGCTGCTGTTCTTTTTGTCGTGCTGGAGGCGGGTGGGCGTGTGGGGGAGGGAGGGGGGGGGGTGATAATTGACCTCCCTCCATCTGCTGCTGGTACAGCTCCGTTTAAACAATTTGTGTCCACGACCTCTTGCAGTAAAAAGCACAGCTTTCTCTTTTTTACGAGCGAACAGCGGGCGATCAGGTAGCCGCGTGCAGCGGCGTTAAAACAGCGTTCTCAAGACTTCGCTTTCCGTCCTGCTCCATTTAATGCGCTTTTACGACGTTAAAGAGCACAGTAGCGTGAGCCAGGAGACCTGCGCCGGTCTCATCACACCTAACTAGCTTTTTCTGGTTTTAAAGAGCACCTGAAAAAAAAATAATAATAAATAAATTTTAAAAAAGGAGGTTATGAGTTGGATCAGACCAAGACCAACAAGACCAAGACGCTGTGGGTTTGAGACGGAGGGGAGACAAAGACGGGGCGAGTCGCTCACCAGTAAATCACACAATGCAATTTAATTAAAACTCAGTTTGGCAGTTGTGGTCTTCGAAATCCATTCCAGTCCTCTTCGTCCAAGACCAAATAAAAAAAAAAAATGGCATTGGATCAGAGATGAGACCAAGACCGGTCCACAGCGCCACAACTCATTTTTTGAAAGGGGGGGGTGGGGGTGGGTGGACATGGCCGACAGTCGCGGCAAGAAGAATAAACAGGCGTTCAAGTCAAGAACATTCTTGAACCAAGTTGGTTTTCGTTGGATTGCAGGAGACATTATATCACCTCCGTGGCAGATCGCTTCACTTCCCTCAGTGAAAGGGAGACGTTTGGACGGAGCGACACCGAAACCTGTGAGGAGGAGGAGGAGGGGGGGGGGGCGCTTGTTACGTGCAGCTGCACAGGGACAGGCACAGGCGGTCAGGTGGAACAAGGCGCGGGCCGGATGACATCGAGTTACACGGACCCATTTCAGGAGGGAAGCTTTGGACGTAGGAAGCACCTTGTGGGGTCATTTCTGTTTCAACGTCGACGATCACCATGGCAGATCTGGGATGGCGGCGGCCTTACCCACACGGCGTACCCACAGTCAGTCAGTCCCGCTTTGCAGTTGTGCAGATGATCACACCGCAGAGTGTCAGAGGAGTGTGCATCAAGAGACATTCAAATTTAAAGTTGCGTATGTGTGTGAATTTAAAGATGTACAGTGCGACTGCCACTTCCTTCTTTGAGGTGCAGGGTAAGAATAACATGTCAGGAACTAGGCAGTTCCTCTTTCAGTTCCTTTTCTGAGTAAATTGAATTTATTCTTACGTTCCGTAGAGCTGACATGCAATGAAGCTATCTGAAGACTGTGTGTGCATGTGTGAACATTAACACATTAACACCCCTGAACCGCTGCAGAAGGGAACTCGTGAATCTTTAGTGCCGGCGGCGTCCCAGCAGAGTAAAGAGTAAAAAGTCATCGACGAGCCGGGTCAAAGTATCTCTGCTCAAGCTAAAATATTTAGCAGCTTCAGCTCGCCTGGAGTCCAGGGTCGAGAGTCCGTACATTCAGCTGGTGAGATGAAGCGGCACCGTGGCTGGCGTTTCTACTTTTCTACTAACCTGTGGGGACGGTCATGAGCTACGCGACCTACGACCTTTTAAGAGTTTAAACAAGCTTATGAATTGCAGTCGTACCGGGGCGAAATAGCTCGTCCCCATGAATGCAAGCGGTTCGAGTTTACGTGCGTGGCCACAATGTAACGAGGAGAATTGGTCTTTTGTTCATTTTGCTTTTTTTAAATCCAGCGTTTGGCAAGAAAGGATCACGACTGATGCAAAATTCTGAAAGTGGCCGTTTTCAGCTTCTTCTTTCAGGCCAAATTTGGGTACTTTTGATCCGGGACGAGGCTGAAAGTCAGTGTGCGCACACACGCGCGTCATACAGTCGGCCCGGAGGAAAACGGGGCACCAAGGAAAACCCAAGCTGGGCTCAGTCGTGCCCTAATTTCTTTCTCCTCCCCATTACGTCACAGCCTGGAGGAAGAGGCCCCCCCCCCCCCCATCGTGCTGCACTGCAGTGAGCGTGCACACGCATCTTCTCAGAAGCAGTGACGTACCAGTAGATGTTGTCTGACCACATCCGGAATATTAATAACCGAGGACTAATGCATGAATCCCACGCGTCTCTCCTCTTTGTTCCTACGGGACGTCTGCAGAGGAAAGCCTCCGGCCTCGCGTCCCTCTCCTCCTCCATCCCTTCTTCTCCTCCTCTTCGCAACCTAGATCGCTGTGCTCCTCTATAGGCGTGTACAAAATAAGGCCATGTCCTTTTTTTTTTTTTTTAACACCATTGTGAAAGCCAACCACAACCCTTCCCCTTCCCCTCCCACCTCTTCTTCTCTTTCTTTTGCCCCTCGGCACATACTCTTCCTTAACAGAGGGTCGGCCTGCTCCACCAGCCATAAGAGCATTAGCTATGGTGTGTGTGTGTGTGTGTGTGTGCGCGTGTGACCCTCATCTATCAGCCCCGTTGACAGTTGAACCCACTGAGCGACTGCCCTCAGCCGGCTTATTGCTCCCCAGCGGCACCGTAGGCGGCCTCCAAAACAACGGAGACGGTTGAGTGAAGCGAGGAGAGGACGGGAGCGGGACGCGAGGTGCAGCGGGTCCATGTGGTCCGTCATAGGGAATCCCCACTTCGCCTTCTCCGGGACGTTTGCCAACGTCCGGAAACGAGGAGCGGAGCACCGAACGTTTCTACAGGCTCGGCGAGAACAAGCTAGATCTGCCCTTAAATGACATCTGGCGAACACACACATGTGTCTCTCGGTGTATGCGGTGTGTACATGTGTGTGTGTGTGTGTGTGTGTGTGTGTGCAGCTGCCATCTTAGTTTGGATTTATTCAAGGTGGCTTCTAAAGTCGATACTGAAGGCTTCATATTAGATGCCTAAAGCTAAAACAAGTCTATCCATCTTTGTAACGTGGCGACCTTATGGTCATGTTGACCTCTGCAGTTTGCCTTGAACAGTGTTGCATGTTAGGAGTGTTTTATTTTACCTTTTATTTTGTCCAATCCATCCACATCGTGGAGTTGTACGCCAAGAATAACAGAGCCATCGGTTTACGTACGTGATGAGCTATTTCTCGCTATGTGTACATGCAAACTCCTTAACACCCAGTTGAAACCAGTGACTGACGAGTGCTTGGATAGCAGCGCAACGTCAATATGCTTTCATCCGTTCGTTGTCGTCTCAAGGCAAAATCCACCAAGAGGTTTTGGCAGGGAGATGGTGACGTTTCAACGGGACAGCACGAAGCCACCACCTCGCTGTAGGGAACTAGAGCCGGCATCAGCGATCTCCTCAAAGAAGTACAAGACAATGACAGAAAAACAGTTGCCGGTCCATCGCTGACTACAACGGTTACGTTTGTTGATATCGTTTTGTGAGTGCTGGCTTTTTTTTTTTAAAGCCACTAAAACAACACGAGCAACGCGGCAGCAGAAGACCAGAAGCTTCTGTGTCCTGTCAGGTTAAAGTGCTGCTTCTGTCCATTGGCCTCTGGGGACCATTGACTCATGAAACCCCACGTCACTATTTGCATCCAGTCACACATTTTCTATGGGATTAACGTTATATCATGGAAAACATCTCGCTAGAAACATGTAGTGCTGTATCTGCACGGTACCAAGCGGAAACATCCCATGAACCGAAACTGAACATAACGGTATCCATCGTTGTCCCACCAAAACCCACCATTTGGGTGGTGGTCCTGCAGGGTACCCTTCTCTGCCCCGTAACCCTGGTAACCCGCGTGTCAAGGCATCCATCCACACCACCAAAACACTGAAAGAAGCAAACCTTGAGTCGACGAACCCTCCAGTCGGACGGACATCGTCAACCTCCAACAAGACCAAACCATTTACCGCAGTGTCAGTGAGAGAAAAACACACCCTACACCCCAAACTTCTCACGTGATGCCAATGTAAGCGAGAGAAGACTACACCTGAAGGCATCTCAACCTCTTGGGAGGCGGTCTGTGTGAGTGTGTTTTCCATCTCCACTTACTTTTCAGAGCCTGGACCAGCGCCTTTCCGTCTTTGATCAGCTCCTTGATGAACTTGTTGGTCTTGTCCAGCTCCAGCTCGTGGGACTTGAGTCTCTCCCTGAACTGCGGGCTGTCCAGGTAGCAGTCACTGAACTCCAGAGCAGGTAGCCCCATCTTCTACTTCTTCTTCAACCCGGCCAAAAAAATGTTCTAAAAAAAGGAAGCTCCAAACGGGAGGAGGAGGAACAAGAGGAGGGAGGACGGAGGAGATCCCTGATCTACTGCTGCTGCTGCTGCTGATGGAAAATCCAATTACAACATGTAAACAAGCGGGCGCAGATGTCTCCGAGAGCGATGCCCGCCTACATAACCGCGCTCCTCTCTTTGCCGCACAGCAAACGGAGTCCCGCTGTTTCCTTCGGGGTGGCAGCAGCGGTCCTGCGCGGAATTCAATTACATTAAATTTAGAAAGAAAAAAAGTCACCGCCGGGTCCGCGTCGTTCGGGTGGGAGGGAGAAAGAAGAAGAAGGGGGGAAAAAAAAACACTTGCTCAGGTAAACCGGCGCTGCATCGTGGAGTCGACCGGTGACGAGGAGGGGAGGAGGGCGGGAGGCAGCAGAGAAGATTTGAGAAGATAAAACTGGCCCCGCTCACGCGGTGCGTCTTCCCTGGGCGGTTTTGAATGCTCGGCTTCCCCTCGGGGCTCGGCTCAGCGCTGCAGACCGTCACCGACCTACCCGGACACGGATAATCCCCCCCGCCCCGGAGAGACGTCTCTCTCGGCCAATGCGGTGGCTCGACTGGAGTGCTCAAAGGCTTGCCCGGGGGGGGCGGGGCTTATGGGAGAGCTACTCGAGAGCAGAAACAAAGAAAAGGGACAGAATGAGGAGCGCTCACTCTGATGGTGTTTCTGTAAAGCTTTTCCTGGAGAGAGTTTGGGCGGCTGGTTTCCTTCAAAGTGTGGGGTTTACAACTGTGCCAAATGCTCGTATTCCAAATGTTCGTGCATTCCTAAAAGTGTGCTACAAAAAAAGCTAGAAATGTCTTGATCCACACTACCAACCCCGTGAGTCTGCTTTGAGCATCAGCCCAAATTCTAAATATGTTCCAGTTGGAGAGAAATGGTGCACTTGCTGACAGACTAACGCTACAAGCCTTAAATCCACATTTCCTGTATTGCTTACGTTTATTTTTAAGAAATTTAAACAAGATTTGCGCCTTAAATTCTATTACGTGGCATGTTGCAATTATGTGGTAGGCCACTGTGTGGGCAAATTGAACGAAAGACAAATTGGACAATAATCTATACAGTAAAAACCCTTTGTCTAAAGCAGAGAGCGTATTAGCCTATTGTCATTTCTGAGAAAATGTGTATATATGTGCAGGTTTCACTGCAATCCGTGCAGAGTGGGAGTGGAATAATCAAATAAGTTTGACATCAGATATCATCCAAGCTAATATACCCATTTTAAGGACATAATGCAGTTTTATAATTGGTGGGAAATACGGGTAAAAAACGTTGAAACGAGGATCAGTTGCAGCACATTTAAAAACACACCACGCTAGAGGGCATCCAGTGTCGTCCTCTCGAGTATAAGCGATCTTTGCATTCTGCGGGCAGCGTGCCCGGTTGGTGGGAGGAGACAATGACGTCACTTCAACCGGAGCGGGGAATTTCTGTGCAGCGTTTTAGAGTTTTTGGATTGAAGGTGGCTGCACTCTCTGGGGCCCTCTTTAGGCCCAACACCGCGCCGCAGCATTTCTTCTTACCATGTGCATTTTAATTCTCGTATTTCCCTATATACTTATCGTGGTTCCTATTCCAGCAATGACAAAAATAGTAGGTTGATGATGAATGACAGACAAATTCCAAATAAAAGTGTAAAAAACGGCAAACGTCTAGTTTAACCAACTTATAATGACACGATTAGATGTTTTTCATTTAAATCACAAGTAGGTCATTTATGCACGTTTTGCGTTTGTGGTTTCTGCATGAAAACCACTGAGATATAGGCACGCTACTTCCTCTGCCAAAGCACAGCACAGCGTCTGGTCGCCCGCTCATTCCTCCATCTGTCACAGTGTGGTGCACAGAGAGATTTACAGGAAGTCATGGCCTGTTGGTATTTGTGTTTGTTAAGTTGCTTAAGAACCAGAAATCATTTATATTTGGGTTTTGTGAATGGCCATAGTCCATCAATTATCCCTAGTGCTCCACAGGACGCTTAAAAAAAAGCATCCTGTGGAAAAAAATGCTTAAAAACTAAAGCAAAAACATAATTTCTTTCACAAGCCATCCTTTCGTAAAAGCAATTTGGGTCAATTTTGTGTCAAATGTCAAATTCTAGCATCCTCCAATCTAATCTTGAAGTCCTCCGTGAGCTCATGTACTGAAATTGAAAGAAAATGAATGGTCTCTTAAACCTACAACATGAATGGAGTCTGTCGTTTTTGCTGTTTCTTAATTGATTCTGACCTCTGAAGACGAACAAAAGAATTTCCATTAACATTAGAACCACTGAACGTATTTGAAGGCCGTAATCAATACCTGCTGTGATGCTTAATGGCAATAAATGGGCTGCTAATTGCATTTTACTCGCCCCTCCCTAATTTCATCAGCCTCAACCTCTCCTTCCAAACAAAGCTTCCTGTTTAAAACACTAGCTTAATTAACAACAGCTAAAAATATGTATCCGTATTTCCATTTCCTCTTTTGAAACAGACGCATAGCTGACAGCTGATGAGCAGGGTTTGTCTGCCATTTACCAACTCTAACATCATCTGTAAGGCCCCTCAATGCTCTTTCACTGGAGCAAGATATTTATTCCTACAGACAGTTTTTCACTACTTTATCTCCCCTTTTCTCTCTGCGGGAGGACGCGGATGCCATGGACATCCACCCGCGTCACACTCTCAGCCAGAGGAGCTTCCTTTCTGGTGAGTCAGAGGATGAACTTCTGCCCAAAGCAGTGAGGCAGCCAAAGGCAGCCGGCCGTGTTGAAAACAAGACACTCATAGTAGTTGACGCTGATTTCTTAAAGGTGCTATGACCAATAATTCAATGATAACATTGGAACACCGTGTTGTGGCATGTGGCTGCAGTTACATCGTGGTTGTATGGTGATAATCTCAACAAATCAGAGAGAACTATTATATGTATATGTCTTGATATATATGTATTATTCTCACATGTCGTGGAAAGGGAACGGCAGCTAATTAAGGGGTCACGTTGCTTTACCCTTAACACGATTGTTCTGGTAGTTGGTGGTAATGTCTCATGTTGCGCGGTGTCAAAAAAGGGGCCAAACTGATTCTTTTTATGTTGACGGTGGACGTATTCTGCCATCTCTTGGTACATAAAGGTAAAGCAGCCTCCAAAAGGGGGAAAAAAAGGAAAAAGGGCCCCTGAAGCTGGACACAGGTGATAGAAAAGTAGGTCAGGCTTCAGCCCCACTTTTTCACTTTAGTCACGTTTTTTCCCCCGCTGATTCTCAACATGATCTGACACCTCTGACAACTCAACAAGACCGAGAGGTGTAAAAATGTACAGTGCATCCGGAAAGTATTCACAGCGCTTCACTTTTTCCACATTTTGTTATGTTACAGCCTCAATTCATTTTCCTCAACATTCTACACACAACAACCCATAATGACAAAGTGAAAACCCTAACCCTTTTTTTGCAAATTTTTGCAAATCTGTTAAAAATAAAGAACGAAAACATAACATGTACATAAGTATTCACAGCCTTTTCCATGACACTCAACATTTAGCTCAGGTGCATCCTGTTTCCACTGATCATCCCTGAGATGTTTCTACAACTTGATTGGAGTCCACCTGTGCTAAATTCCGTTGATTGGACATGATTGAGAAAGGCACACACCTGTCTCTATAAGGTATCACAGTTGACAGTGCACATCAGAGCATAAACCAAGCCATGAAGTCCAAGGAATTCTCTGTAGACCGCTGAGACAGAATTGTATCGAGGCACAGATCTGGCGAAGGGTACAGAAAGATTTCTGCAGCATTCAAAGTCCCAATGAGCACAGTGGCCCCCATCATCCGGAAGTGGAAGAAGTTTGGAACCACCAGGACTCTTCTTAGAGTTGGCCGCCCAGCCAGACTGAGCGATCGGGGGAGAAGGGCCTTAGTCAGGGAGGTGACCAGGAACCCGATGGTCACTCTGACAGAGCTCCAGCGTTGTTCTATGAAGAGAGGAGAACCTTCCAGAAGGACAACCATCTCTGCAGCACTTCACAAATCAGGCCTGTTTGGTAGAGTGGCCAGACGGAAGCCACTCCTCAGTAAATATCACCTTAAGGACTCTCAGACCGTGAGAAACCAAATTCTCTGGTCTGATGAAACAAAGATTGAACTCTTTGGCCTGAATGCCAAGCGTCATGTCTGGAGGAAACCAGGCACTGCTCATCACCTGGCCAATACCATCCCTACAGTGAAGCATGGTGGTGGCAGCATGATGCTGTGGGGATGTTCTTCAGCGGGAGGAACTGGGAGACCAGTCAGGATTGAGGGAAAGATGAATGCAGCAATGTACAAAGACATCCTTGATGAAAACATGCTCCAAAGCGCTCTGGGGCGACGGTTCATCGTCCAACAGGACAACGACCCGAAGCACACAGCCAAGATAACAAAGGAGTGGCTTCGGCACAACTCTGGGAATGTCCTTGAGTGGCCCAGCCAGAACCCTGACTTGAACCCGATTTGAACATCTCTGGCGAGATCTGAAAATGGCTGTGCACCGACGCTCCCCATCCAACCTGATGGAACTTGAGAGGTTCTGCAAAGAAGACTGGGAGAAACTGCCCAGAAGTAGATGTGCCACGCTTGTGGAATCACACCCAAGAAGACTTGAGGCTGTAATTGCTGCCAAAGGTGCTTCAACAAAGTATTGAGCAAAGGCTGTGAATACTTATGTACATGTTATGTTTTTGTTCTTTATTTTTAATAGATCTGCAAAAAAACACTTTGTCATCATGGGTTGTTGTGTGTAGAATGCTGAGGAAAATAATGGCCTATTCAATGTACAAAGTCAAACATAAAACAGCACACAAATATGCAGCTTTTATCTTGGTGCTGTAAATCGGGCAGATCTACCCCCACCTCGCCTTCCCCTCTTAATAAAAAAGAATTAGGCTCAACGTTGCCTTCCTCAACAGACCTGAATGTTTAAAGATGTGAATATTTGTCTGTTGTGTAGGCTGATGCTTTGCGATTTGAATTGAGAAGTGTGTGCAACAACTGAACGTCGTGCGTCGTGTCTTGACAACAAGGTGACGTGTAATTGACATCGGAGCGTTAAAGAAGGAAAGTCCAATGCAAATAAGGCAGCGTGAAGCAGCACCGAATCGGGTCGAGCGATCGGTCCAGAGTCCAGATGTGCTCCGAGCATCTGTGCTGCCATGATGCACGATTAATGTTGGGATGCTGAAGTCACCGTCTTTGTTCCTTTGGGGAATGTTTGTTGCGTTGCTCACCCATTGAGAGTGTGTCGGTGCTCAGTCAGACGGGCCGTCCTGCTCATTTCCAGGCCGTGCCTGGATCCCATGGCCTGGACACTTGCGTCACTCCGTCTCACTGTGCTAGGGTGGTATTTTTAGTCCTGACGCGGGCCCGTTAAAATGAGATCCTCTCACGTTGTCGGGAGGTGGGAGGGGGGAGGATAGGGTACAAATACAGAGGGACGCACTTACGGCAACTCTCTGACGTCCAGTCACAAAAGTCAAGGACAGGTTCCATTCAAACTTCAGTGAAGAAAAAAAGGGGACAGAAAGAGGACATGCTGGCTCATCGGGAGGACTGTCACGTGACCATCTCACAGGTAGGCGCGTCTGACCCTCACATCTGCATTCTGACTCGGTCACCGCTCGGACGTCATTCCCACCAGCGGCACAGTCCTAAAGTCCCTGTGGACACAAACCAACCTCTCATATCCCGTAAAAAAACCCTGCTTGTCTTCCGTTGCTGCGCTGAGGAGAAGCCCTCTGGGAGCGGGGAGGCCTCGCATACCTCTTGTGGCTTTCCGCTGGTGTGTATTTTGCTCTCCTTCTCCCTCTATTATCATTTTCCTCCCCGCTCTCTTTCTCATGCCTGTCCGAGACATTCCAGATGTGAGCTGTGGCCCGTCTCTGTTTCAGCTATTCCCTTCCCCTGGCTCCAAATGATAACATCGAGCCGTACGGCGCCGCCGATCGCCCGCTCCTTTTTCATTCATTGCAGCCACTGCTGCTCTGGGATCTCTACCGGTGGAGATATAGAGATTACACTGACAGTTGGGGCTTTTAAAAAAGGCCCGATTGGGTTTTTTTTGGAGTAGCTTTTGAGGAAGCAGACAGTCCGAGGGTCAGACAGACAGGAGCTGGCTGGATTCCTGGTAAGACTTAAAGTGCCCGGCTGGCTGCTGGAGATTTGCTTGGATGTAAAACACGTAGTCGTCTGAAGCCGGCTGAATGCAAAAGTCTCAAACAGCGTGACGGCGCTCTCTGCCCTTCGCTGTGGCCACGCGCTGTTTGTCTTGTTGTTTGGCTCTGTACAGATTTCGGGGTGGGGGGGAGGTGGAGTTACATCACTGCCATCTGTAAATGATTCTCACGAGGTAAGTCAGGGAGTTAGTGGTGATCATGATTTTCTGAAAGAAAGAGTTCCTTAAAAGGCCGCCCCAAAGAAACGGACCGGCGGTGAGAGGGAGAACGTGGTCGAGGGAGGCTGGGGGGGGGGAGCCTTTCCTGTAATCACGTCACGAAGGCGGCGTTGTCGTCCTCATTCACGCTTCCCCTGGGGTCTCAGAGACGCCACAGGCAGACATGAACAGCCAACCCGATGGGTCCGCCGTGTCGTTGCAGGCACCGGGGCCGCGCGGGATGTCCGAGGGAGACGTCACGGTGCTGCCGCTCGGGCCCGCGTCCTGGCAGGAGCACCGGACGCTGACCAGACTGTACTGCCAGAACGGAGGGCATCACCTGAGGATTCTGCCAGACGGAGCTGTGAGCGGAGGCAGGCAGGAAAACGACCCCCACGGTGAGAAAGGCATCTACACCTCTCTCCTTAGTTCAGGAGCAAACAATACGATGTGTAGTCAAATGAAGCTGAGCAGATTCTGCACGTGTAGGGTGACTTAACTGAGGATTAAAGGTCATCCTTGTTAAAAATAAGGAAAAGCAAGAGAGAAGAGGTACCCAATTGTTTTGGTGAGAAGTTAAGATAAATGGACCTGGACGAAAGGCGATGTCTTTTAAATCGCAGCACTTCTGGTAAAGCTGCTCCGGGTCTGTAAAGAGAAGGAGCGAAGACAGTGACCCTTTGAACATATTGGGACGTCATTGCCTCCTCGCCCTGAAAAAAAACGACATTCATTTCAGTGGAAAAACGCTTCCGTGGTGTCGAAATATGAGTGTCCTCCCCTTTTTTCTCGGAAAGCCAACAAAAAAGATCATTTTGCTTTGCAGACATCCTGAGGCTACAGGCCGTGAGTGTGGGAGTGGTGGTCATCAAGGGCGAGGGGACGGGAAGGTACCTCGCCATGAGCAAAAGAGGATGCCTCTATGGATCCGTGAGTTTTTGAACAAAAAGACCGCTGCTATGGCTTAAGACTGATTTTGAATTGAAACATTAAATAGTACATTTAAACACAACTGCAAAATCACCTGATCACCGTGAGCAACAACTAGCGCCAGGAACTATATAACAACATAAACCATAAAGGAATTACACAGATTTATGATGTTGATTCCCATCATTCAGCAGTTTAAAATGACTTCACAGGGCCAATTAGAAGACTGTCGACAAAACCAACAGCTCTTCCCTTCTCTCCCCTCCCTCATGTCCTCAGCCAACACTGAACGATGAGTGTTACTTCCTGGAGAAGTATGAAGAAAACCATCACAACACGTATTGCTCCCAGAAGTACGCGTGGTACGTGGGGCTGAAGAGGAATGGGCAGCCCAAGCCGGGACCAGACACCCACCGGGGTCAAAAGGCCGTCTTTTTCCTGCCAAGGCCGCCGGGAAACATGTGAAATAAGACGCCAGGAGGAGCCGCAGATGTGCTCAGTGAAGTCTCATTCCTGCTCGACGGTATTCCATTTAAAGGTCACTGAAAATCAGTACAGCGGGGCGGCGAGGCCTTTTTTCATCCCGCTTGTTAATGCCGAGAATGTAAGCAGCCGATTACACTTTATACGATTTATCACAGGGACGTGAGAACGTACACACGGGGGAATTCTCTCTCTATCCTTCTCACTCCACACAGAAAACGCATGAGGTATCGATGCAAACCAGCGGTTTATCGGCGCTGGTATGCAGCGCCTTTGTGGAACACATCAAACAGTCCGTTTTTACACAGAAATAGTTTTGCGATTGATCACATGTGGCACAAAAGAAACCAACAAGGCAGTAAACATAAAAGAGCCGACCGTCTGGCGTTGGAATGCAACTTCACGGAGGGAATAATAGGACTAATGTATTTCAGTGCCTGACCTGTGGGTGCGTCTCGGTGGGGGTTTAAATGACTGCTAATCTCATGCGTGACCATTTTGGTAATTTTATGATAGCAGAAAAGCGTGCGCGTGAAACACACAGAGCCAGGATGACAGTGAAACATTTGTGCGATTATTTTACCATATTGTTATTTTGTGACTGAGTCAGCTGACAGTCTGACGGGAAGATGTGAAAACTTTTTTTTTTTACCAGTCAGGGAAGTTGTTATTGAGTTGTATGTTCATTAAAAGACGGAACAAAAGAAGAATTTATCACGCTGATGAGATCAAACGCTCAGAAGCGGTTTGTTTGCAGAGAAGGACAATATAATATTGAGCATTCCGTCCTGCACCACATTAAGTTTCCCTTTACTAAGCAAAGTGGCTCCGCTTCCCAAACCAACACTTTTTTTGCCCACATATTTCTCCTAAAGTTGAAACACGTGTTACTGTAACACAATTCTAAGTAAAATTGCCCATTGTGAATATTTATTGTATCGCTGATACATTTGCATTTTTGCAGCAGGTTGTTTATATGCGTGTAATTCATACATACATAATGAAGGAAAAAAGCTTTGATTTGAGTGATTTGATCACTTTGCTTTTTTTTTTTTTATTAAGCGTTCTTAAATGTATAAAATAAAGTCTGCATTACTATCTGTAAAAAGATAAATATTTGTATTTTCTGTGACGATGGTTGATGATCTTCTTAAAACGTAACCAAGTGAATAAAAGTGTTAAATGTCATGTCCAGCTTCCAGTATTTGTGTTAACGTTTGGTATTTTCAGTGAAAACTCTTGTCACGGGTGTTTGCCAGACACATTCCTCCCCACCACAAACATTACAAATTGGCCACAAGATGGAAGCATTGCTTCAGTTTCAGTGGTTCAGTTTCGGCCGGCCGGCTTCTAAGCTCATCGATATTATTTCAGGTTTGGGCCTCGCTGAATCCCGGATCAGAGCGGAATTATCCATCGTTAGTTCTTCTGAAAACCTCTTATTGACTTCTCCGATCTACGTTTTATTGTGGAAGAGTGAGTGAATACTTGACCTGCAATTGTGCTCAAATATTAGTGTGACTAGTTTGTCTATCGGGTGCATGTCATTTCTGAGGGAAATGTAACTTTTTACTCTTATGTGTATTTTTTTTTGCAATGAGTCACTTATGTAGAAAAGTATGCAATCCAATGACAATTTTTTGTATTTTTACATTATAGTATATTGGATATATTGGATAAAAGGTCTTATTATTATTCTTAATGACAGAATATTCTGTCTAAACTGGTCTAAACTATCTTATATCATATTTTCATCTTTTTTCATATCAGTGGTTACAATGCGTTGAGAAGCAGCCAATGTCTAATTGGACATTTTGATCCTTATATTTTCAAATCTTCTTTATCAAAAGCAATTGGTGTGTAAAAACGAACAAAGGGATGTGGGTCTTGAGGACACTGAAAGGACACACGGATGTTGGTGGACAAACATCCGACCTCTGACCTCTCATTTGCAGGACAGTTTCTCTTCTCTTTCTATTTAATGAAGCAGCACAGGACGCACACACACACACACACACACGCACGCACTCACAAACCTGGTTGGCTATTGGCCTGCAGGGCTGTGCAGGGCAGGAAGGGAATCATTCACTGTAAACTGAACAAGGACTGGCTTCCTCTGGGAGTCCCCTAGCCTGACAGCAGCCAAGATCCCTGCAACACAAACCACTTTAGCAAACACGCACACACACACGCACACGCACACACACACACAGTGCACACACTGGATCTGGGACACATTTTCTCATCTGTTACTCCTCTCTCGTTCCTCAATTTCGACTTTCTTTACGTTCCCTTCCTCCCCCTCTCTCGGTTTCCAGCCTTCTTCAAGCGTCCGTCTCTGGCTTATTGCTTTCTTCTCGTCGTTTTCTCCCCCTTCTACTTCTACCACCTGTTTACATGCACATATATAAAGTATCACTTATTTCTCTCATTTTTGTTTCAAAAGGACCAAAATGGAAATACGAGCACGGTACTTTTCAATGAAAATGCATTTGTGTGGCATTTGATACACGTTTTAGTTGTGTGTCAAAATAAATCAAACCAAATTCTCTTATGTGAAGAATTGTCTAACTTTAAGTAACCGCCACACAGGAGTCGTTGGGTTTCCAGCAAACAACGTTCAGAAGGTGCTTCTTTAAAGCCCACCGATGCTTTTCCGAGCAAACGGGCGAGAAAACACGAAACACTGACCCATTTCTCCCGATGAATAAGTCACTGAACCCCTGCGGTTCGCTCTCATTCTGTTCTGGTGGCCTCATCAGGAAAACAGAGATGCTTGGTCAACGTTACTGTATGCGTGCTATTCCCTTCACCTTTCTCCTTCACACACACACACACACATAGACATCGACAGGAAACCGGGGACGCATATCTGTCAGCTGATCCAACTGGAAAATGCTGACGATGGTCTCCCCATCTGCTACCGCTCCTTGAGGCAGGAGGCGAGGACGCGAGGGGGAGAATATACACGGGGGACGTGGAAAGCGAGAGGCGGCGCGAGAAGTGCCCGGTTGCTGTCGGTTCGGCCCCGAACGGGCAACGGTTTCCCAGGTAGATGCTTGGTGCCGGATAGACACATTCGTTGGGTGGCTCCAAACATGTCGCTTTCTGTGGGAGCAAATGGCCTTTTTTTTTGTTACCAATATATATATAATAAAAGTAAAGGGAAACCAACACAGTAGTGTGGGATGAAGAACAAGAGGAGCCCTGGGGGATTCGTGCGTGTCTCTTTGGCGTGCTGCATATCCGACCTTCTTCACGTGGCATTCATTTGGGTCGCCTGTCTCCTTTTTCACGGCGGAGTATGACCGGCTCGCAGCTATGTAAGATGAGCATTGCAGAGCTGTTTTTTTTTGTTTTTTTTGTGGCAAATTCAAAGCAGCAACAAAACAATTATCCAGAAGCAACCGAGTGTTTTTTCAGTGCAGCTGTAGGTCGCCGATGTGCTCGTGGCTTGCGTTCTTCAAAGCTGCCACATCCATCGGGGGGCTTTTACCCGCTCACTGAGTAACCGGAGGAGTGGATATGCCAGTGGCGTGTTAGGGGTCATTTGGTTTCAGTACTTAAACCCTGAATGTTTTGATCAGAGCGTGCGCACACGAGGGCTGCAGTAGTTGGAGGACGAACATCGAGGAGGCAACAAAACGAAAAGGCTAATCGGCTTCCACCGCCACTGTAGGGAGCTCAGGGAAGGTGATACGATTATTTTTCTTAAACATTTGGTTCCAGCCATGTCATGTTCTGCCTAATTGGCGTACGAATATATCGTTGATATCGAGACTTTAGACAAAAGAAGGATTGTGACGCAGCGGAAAGCGCCCACAGATGGACCTCCATCGTCACATCTTGGAAGGATCCCAAACCGCCAAAGCTGGCGGATAATAGATGGGTGATTGTTTTCCAAGTCGCACCTCCCCTCAGCTCCACTTACACACTTTATAAAACACAAAGTCTTCACCACAATGTCTCACACATTTAGTGTGACACTGCTTGCGCTTCTTCAAATTTGGGAGAACTGCTGTCCAATGTTTTTAGTGAGTAGGCAAACACACACACACACACACACACACACCTTATTGAGACCGGAAGCTGGCCTTTCTTCTCAGCTGTGATGTCTCACATACAGGAATACACTCTCACACATAGACCCACTGCAGCGATGACGCCTGCGATGGTCAAAAATATCCACAAATGGAATATTTAGCGCTAAAGTCATACCGCTTAATGCTCCTTCTATCCTTTCAACACTCTGGGAGTTCACTCTATCGACACTTCCCGCTTGCAGCTCGACGCTAAAGATTATCGCAACACGCTTTTTCACGCGTAGAGATTCTATGTTATTGAAGTCTGGGTATTAGTTTGGGTGGAAGCTGATGTCTCGACATATTACTCAGCATCCTATGGGAAGCTGAGCTTTTGTTCCTGCTGCTGAGAAAACCTTTTATTAGTGCGTCTTTCAACGTACCATGACGTTTTAGACTTCCTGATGACTTCCTGAGAGGGCCGGCTGTTAAAATGTACTGTATTGTTCAAAGGTATTTAAGGTCGGTCCAATTATAAAGAAACCAAAACGTCATCATGACGTCCAATGAAAAGACTTCCAGTCAGTGAAGTAAACAATGTTGATGACAATTATCATTATTAATTGAACTAAAATTATTTGGATTTTATCCGTTAACTTTAATATTTATCGCGTTTACATGTCTTTGTATACGATTGGAAGTTTGTACTGCAATTGTGTGATTAAAGGAGAAAACAGTCAACCTCCTATGAATCTTTTCCCAGTATTCTCACGTCCAGTCTCACGTCTTCTTCGAAACAATCCACGTCTACAAAAGAAAAGAAAAGTTCAAACATGACTGGGCTTTTGTCAAGGACACGATTAAAACAATATCCTCTTTTCATTTCCGTGGAAGTCGTCACGGAACGATTCTTATTTTAGCAGCGAGAACGTAAGCAAAGCCATTACACCCACTCCTCTCCGCGTCGCTGCCTGGTCTCCTTTCTGGGAAACAAACGCTCAAGTTTAACCTCTTATCTCTTCCCTTTCCCCTTCCTGTCGTTCGGAACATGCAAATGAAAATAAGTCCGACTGGAGGAAAAATAGACCCCTGCAACAAACTTTGAGGCCTATTTATGCCTCACATTCCACGCGTCCCAGATAGCTCCCGCTGTGCGGCTGTGGCTGCGGCCATGTCATCGCAGGATGCTGTGCCTTCCTCTTTCTTTCTTTATGGCTTGCAACCCCCCACCCCCACCCATTTTGTTCTGTTTCAGCTTCCTTTCCTCTACATTTTTAGGCGATATCCTCTTTTTTTTGTTTTTATCCGTGTGTGCCCAGACGAGAGGAGCAGCTATAATTGTTCCCTCTCCTTCTCAAGAAAGAATGTCTGAAGCGCACCGGCCTTTTGAAGTGGCCCATTGTCCGCTGACCTCAAAAGGTGAGGAGGCGGGCGGAAGGGGGCGAGAGAGGGAGGGTGGGGGGGAGGGGGGCGGGGCAGGGGTCTAATGGAAAGGTGAGCAAACGGAAGCGGGGAAGAGAGAGAAATGACAATAGACAAGAAAAAGTTGTGTGAAAAAAGAAAGCTTACCGCCGCATTAAGGATTAACACAACCCTACACAACCCTAAACCCTGACCCTGTCATCGCCGACTTGCCGGTCCAACCTAAAAATCCCACTCGTAACCTAATGGGTGGGCCTAATTCTTTTTTGGAGGGCAGCTCATCGACACTGTGTTCACCTGACTCACAGGGCGGCGGTCAGAGCGGATGAAGTAACGCTCAGCCTTTTGCCTCGAGAGGCCGGACGTCGTGTTCTCTCAACTATTTAGCCAAGGAAGGACCGGTGTCTTCAGCTCCTCCTTTAGGGGCTGCATGCTTTGAAAGCGCACCGTACGAACTAGACGGGGCATTTTTCTTTTGAACAATATTTCCTTGATTTTAATTGAAATGCATTTTTTAAGTGAGAGAGTTCAATCACCATGTAAAACATCCTTATGGCTTATCTTTATAAGTAGCATTCAGTGTGTGTCATCGCGTGTCCAATTTCAAAAGGCTTTCAAAATAATCTTCAAAAACACTCTTTTTCAGAACAAGCTTCCTTATTGTAAACTAAATATCTTTTGTCATTGTTGTGGTTGGATTCAATTACATAAGCAGAAAATTGGCCCAAAAAGTACAAAATCTAT